TATATTATTAATATAATATATTTATAAATATTATATTAATAAATATAATATATTATTAAAATAATATTTATTATACTATTAAAATAATATTATTTATTAGTATAATGTTTATAAATAATATATCAATATATATTATTATATTATTAATAACAAATTGAATTTAAAAGCTTTAATCACTTTTTCTTATATATTTTTGTTTTTACATTTTTAAAACAAAAACATTATATCCAAATATGTTTTCAAATTCGATAAATTGAAAATAAGATGAAAACAAAATAAAACAAAATTTTAAAAAATATAAAAAACTTAAAACATAAAACACATAAGAATACCAAACGACCCTTAAACTTTTAATTTTTACCTTTTTAAAGATATTATTTGCATTTCTATCCAAATGCATTAATAATCCTTTATAAGCTATGTTCGATTGGACAAAACAAAGAAAGGGCAATTAGTGCAGGTACAATTAGGCATTTAGTGGGGATGATGAAAAAGCAAGGGACCGTTATGAAAAAGAAGAAAACTGAGAGAATGAGATCAAGGAAGTAGAAGAAGAAAAAGTTTATTTCCCATTCTAGCTCATTTATTTTACAGTTTGAATGCCTTAAATTTTCGCTTATCTTTGATTTTGATTTTGCAAATTAAGATTTTAAGGTTATGTTTTCATTACCTATAGTTTGAATGCCTTGAATTTTCCATATTTTCTTTATTTTAAGATTTTTTTTTTGTTTTTGCTTTTTTCCTTTTACAAGAGATTAAGAGACAGCATGCATCAATCAATATGATTTTTCACATTGTTTCATTTTTTTATTTTTTTAAAGTTTTTTTACAAAGTAAGAGATTGGAAGGAATAATCTTACATATGATTGTCAATCTCATTTTTTTCTTATTTGTTCCTAATATGGACATTATAATATCTATATTAATTTATAGTTTGAATAGTTTTACAACCACTGTCAACTTTATTTTTCTTTTTCATGTTATAGGCTCAATTAGCTGTAAAAAGCCTTAGAGAAGCATTCTCTATAATGAGAAAGCAATTAAAGAATTCACTGATATAGTTTTCAGTGTATTCAGTTCTTCTAATCACTTTTCCACGTCTCAAAATGAAAACCTCAAGGAGTTGATTGGTGGAAGTGAAAAGTATGTGATTTATAAATTCAATACAAGGTATAAACTTTCACCCATATTGTTAATTTGTCATTGTGTAATTGTAGACAATTATCATCACATTGATTAAGGTGTCAACAATGCTTAGTTTGGATTATTTGTTGAATATGGAAAATGGTGATATAAAACTTTTCACGTAATTCTTTCATACTACTTTTTAAAAGTTATTTATAGTTATTTGGTAAAATTCTTACAATAAATAATAATTTTGTGATCTAGTTTTTGCATTTTTGTTTCACAATTTTTTTTATAGACCCATGCTCTATTCATGTTTCCTAGCACTATAAGGTACTCCATCACTAGGGATATATTTGGTCTTTTCTTAGCAATTTCATATGGTTTATTTATGGGTAGGATCTTTTTATTTATCTAAATTAAACAATGAATATAATAAACTTAATTTGTTGAGATTATTTTCATACTTATCTATTTTATTTTCATCTATTGGTCAATTTTGTAGTTTTGCTTAAGAAATATGTTGGGTCAAAATGAGATAAGGTTGATGTGCAAAAGTTATTTGGATACATTGGTCTCTTCACTTTTCTTGACCTTTGGTAGCTTAGTAAATAATTTATTAATCTCTTTATCTTTCAAGTAACTTAGTGCATTTTTATTCTCTCTTTCTTTTCAAGATGTGAGGGTTTATGTTTGATTGTGCAACTAAAATTTTATATCTGTTAAATGCTCATCTTTAGTGTTCCTCCTTATAATTTTTTTCCTTTGAGCTGATAGTGTTATGATCTATGTATAGTGTGGCCACTTAATGCTATGAGGATAGAACCTTTATTTAGCTTTCCACATTCAACATCTATTAGGGAAGTAGTGCTATTTAATGGCTATAAAGTGATGATCTTGATGATCAATAGGATGTGATGGGAATTTTTGAGGTGTTAAAGAAAAAAGTCAACCAATTGTTCATGGAAGCCATAAAAATGAAAAAAGTAAGCGTGAAAGATCTGTGCTTTTATGGTGCACTGATAAAGAGATTTGGGATTAGTTCATGCATGAATCTAACCCACTATTGAATCCCTTTAAACCAAGTAAATTTCAATTTTTGTAAAACATCCAATCAAAATTAATTACCATTTGATCTTCCAGATTTCTTTTAATTTCTTAACCATCATATCATCACAATGAAATAAATGTTTAACAAAAATATTTCATTCTTCTCTCATTATTATTAGCCACTAAGCATTTCAATTATTTATGTTTTGATTTCTTTTCTTTGATGCAAAAAACAAAAAATTAAAAGGATGCTTGCATTGGCAATTTGGTACTCTCAGAATTTAATTTAAAAGCTGTGAAGTAGGTGAGAAATAGATTGAAGATATATAAAGTCGTACTCTTTTCAAGAAAATTTATGGAAGTCATTGTATAGTCTGCATTGTCCTTTAATTTTGATTCATTTCAAGCTCAGACTCATGCATGTTTCTTACTATAATTTAATTTTTTTAAAAAAATTATAGATATCCTTTGTCTTTAATTTTTTTCATTTTAACCAAACATCTCATGAATTTCACATGTAAAATATTGGGTTAATTAGTTGGTGCATGTTTGATGTTTAAAAAGTTGGATCATTTGAATTCTCTATCTTCGAATATCAGAAAACTTTTTTTTATCTGATTAAGATTTTATGTATGTAAAATGTAATTATTTAGATTCAAAAATTGAAACATGTCTAATAAACTACTATTATATATGTCTTTTTTCAAATTTTAATATCTTTCTTCAGTAATTAAGAATAAAAACTTCAATGTGATAATTATTACCTACTTAAATTAGTTTCTTAGTATGAGTGTTGCAGTTACGATAGTACAAAATTGAGAAGAAAAATTAATGTGTTGTGGCAACACATTCATCAAAACTTTTATGTTTGATTAGTTTTTTAGAGTTAAAGTTGAGTTGAACCATATATGTCATTCTTTTGTTTAATATTTCTTTATGTTTAAATCCATAAGCCAAAAGGGACTAGTTAAATCTTCAAATTGAGATGTCATGTTCTAGTGTCTAAAGAATAAATAAATATGCAATTTTCGATCTCTTATACTCTATTTGATCAATTTGTTTTGATTCATTGGAATGGTGTTCTATTTGATTATTTTTTTGAATATTACTAATTTCAAGTCAAATATGTGGTAGAAGTTATGGAATGTCTGTAGCCTGGAAAAAAACCTTACCCTATTGATCCTTAGATTGTGGTTCCTGACAAGAGCAAACGGCTAGCTTTTGGGCATTTTTTTCCTTTGCTAATATTGATATATAAAGTTGGATTTTAATGTTGAAAAGTAAGTGATTTAGAAATCCTTCAATCTAATAAATTTCATTTAAATCGAAGAAATGATGTTGTGCATAGCAACACTTTCTTTCAATTTCAAAAATTTTCATAATCCTTGAATAAGAGAAAAAAAACCTCATAATTTCTCTATAATTAATTCAATATTAACTTACTTATTAATTAATTTTTTATTTTTTTTGTTTTTAAATAAAAGTATTCCTCATTTAGTAGGTGTTACTTTCAATCTAACAATCAAGTTGAAATATTGATAAAGCCATCCTTTTTTTTGTAGAAATATTTTATTGAGACAGATGAGAAATTGATGATGAAATAAACGAGGAGAATTTGAGTGAAGATGATCCTACTATTGAGAAAATGTTAGTTAATTTTAGTATCATGTCCATTGTCTTGATTGAATTATTTATGTATTTGTTAATATATATATTTTGCTTTTAGAGGAAAATATTGGGTTTTGAAGGTTATGTGGGAAGCTAGTATATTTGAATATACTATGCATAAACAAATTAAACTTGAATTCATAGATTTAAGCATCAGTAATAGCAGTAATGGCGTAACAAAGCAACAATGGTTTGTTAGGGTTAGTGCCGCAATATCTTAGAAAGCTAAGGAATTTGTAGATAAATATTCTTTTAAGAACGATGATCTCAATAATCCTTACTTAACAATTTATTTCCTGCTTCAAATTAGTTATAAGTTGTATTTTCATGATTAAAATAACCCCGTAAGCCCGCAACATAATGCGGGCCTACGGGCTAACTTTTCTAAAGATCAAGTATTAAAAGATAATTAACTCAAGAAATAACTCAAAAATTTCACGGTTTCATTTGATGTTCCAAAAGGCTAAGAGCAAGTTACCTTCACACAAATAAAGCAAATTCTCTAGATTCCAAATAATACACGCGTATCAACTATCAAATTTTAAACACTTATCAATTGTGATCTAGATATATAAAAAATGAAAATTTTTATTTCATTTTAGCGTTGAAAGCTTAAAAAGAAAAAGATAAAAACCCACAAATATTAACCACTTTATTTTTTATAAGTAATATTCTTTTAGGAAAATTTATAAAGAACAAATGTTTTGTTAATTGGTTGAATCCAATTATAAAAAAGATTTTTCTAGGTGTTTCTTAAATTTAGGAATTAGTAGTATAACCTTTTGTTTTAATTTTAGTGAGATAAGTGAATAGCAGACTAGTAATATCCATTTTTCCTTTTTTTTTTTTTCATGTTCAAACTTTTACGCATCTCATTCTCATTATAAAATTAGTATTTAAAAAATATTTATAAATTGGATAAATTGGAAATATATATATATATATATATATATACATATTTAGAGATAATTTTTTTTTATAAATTTGGCAAGATTGCTATGTTTCTGGACCTGCCGCTTTTGTTCCCATCTGCAAACGAATGCTTGTTTACCTACTATATTTTAAGTTCCCTCACTTACTCACTCTCTTCCCCAAATATAATATATATAAATATATATATATATATATATATATATATATCAGCCTCTCTTCGGCCCTGTGCTTGTTAGAGTTTCTTTCATTCTCGTCCTTCTTTCGCTGACCAGGGCTGCTGCTGCCATGGAGGAAAAACACAGAATATGTAAGATCTGCAACAGAAGGTTCGCCAATGGCAAAGCTATGGGTGGGCACATGAGATCTCACTTTGCTAAACTTCCGATTCCTCCTAAACTCACCCTCCCGTCCTCTTCTTCAACCCCACCACCAACCAACAATATTATTAAATCCTCACCTTCTTCTTCTGTACTTTTCAGTGAGATTAATCACATGCAGCAACCTTATGGATCTGTCAATGAACTTTCTAGCGAGACTCAGTTTTCCATTAGAAGATCCAAACGACTTTGTAACAGCTCACCATCTGACTCGGTAAGTTCGGTTGTCCTCCCAATCCATGATGAAATTATATGTAGTGAAGATGCTGCCAAATGTCTTTTAGTGCTTTCCAGGGATAAATGGCCTCTAGAAGAAGTGCAAAAGGCTGAATTCTTAGATGATGGTGGTTGGGATATGGATTTGGATGATGACGAAGATAATCCTCGTACAAAGTATAAGTGCAAGACATGTGATAAAAGTTTTAAATCTCCTCAAGCTTTGGGTGGGCATAAAGCTAGTCATAAAAACAATAGAGCTTTTACCGTTGAAGAAAGGAAGGAAGATAAAGGAAAAGAGAGTGGTGGTGATTATCAGATTCATCAACAAAGAATATTTGAATGCCCATTTTGTGACAAGGTGTTTCAGTCGGGTCAAGCACTTGGTGGGCACAAAAAGGTTCATTTTTCTTACTTATCTGTCGCTCATAGTAAGATGTCCAAGACATCGTCGTCTACTGTTCAGTTGTTCGATCTTAATTTACCAGCTTCTGAAGATGATGATCATGATGTAGTTATTCTGGTTGAGAATTCGATGGCGTCCGCCGATGGAGAAATGTGAACTCTTCCAATGAAGTTCTGAAGCATACATGGTAAAAAAAAGGTGAAGGTATGAAATACTACTATTGTTCGTGAACAGTCGAGAAAGTGAACTTTCTCATGATTTTTTAATATACTAATGATGTTTGGGTACTTCTTTTAGATCAGTTTGGGAAACTGACACAATGGTTTTTTTTAATCTTTTTTAGAGACAGTGGTTAATTTATTTGAAGAATTAAGTCTCTCTTAGGTAACTTTTTATTTATCTCTTTCTTTTTCTGTTCGTATATGGTTGCATAACATTCCTGAATTTGTTATGTTATTATTAGGTTAAACTACTTCATTCTAGTAAGAAAAAGAAAAAGTTTATTTGAAATGAATTGTATTACTTTCAAATTAACTGTAATTTGATGTGACCATTGTTTTTGTTGAAGATCTGAGTTGTCTTTGTTTCTATGGGAGCTTTTATAGTACAATCATGAATTTTCTTGCTGCACTTGTTTTGTTCCGTGAACAGCACTGCAGCTGTTTTAGCTAGCAGCTTTCTCTAGTTTTTCTCCTTAAAAAATTAGAAAGAGAGAGAGAATTCCTTTTGGATACTCAAGATTAGCTTATATCAGTCATAGCTGCCTCTGCAAATAGGTGTTTGTTACAGTTGGAGTCAATATATTTCCTTACTTTCTTGGGGCAGTTTATCTTTATACAGGATTTGGTTCCGTGTAAAGTGAAAGCACAGTTTAGTAAATAAAATTTACCACCATCAAATTAGGTAATGCCATGTCATAAACAATTGGCAGAAACAAATTACGTAGTGAACAATGGGTGGGATAGGGAGCTAGTTTGAGGGGTTAGATCCTAGGTTTTGAACCCTCATCGGTCATATTATCTTGTTGTGTATCAGAACGAAACGACGAGATGGCTCCAAAGTCCAAACCCAAATATCCATCTGAATTGCCAATTCCTAGCTAGCTAGGTACGTTTGGCAATGACTGCTTAGTCCGATTTTGTCTTCAGAACTCATAAAAACCTGCCAATATTGGTCGAGGCTGGTTCGAGATTTTAAGTCTAGTTAGTAGTTGAAAATTGTCAATTTCTTCGGACAAAAAATTTTAAGATCTCGAATTTTGAGTGGATGTATATATATTTTTATGTGAATTAAAAATTGGATTCAAGCCTTTTTGATTTTAGCTTAATTCATCTACTGCTATGGATAATTCTTGTTGCTTAATGACAAGGTTCGAGTCTTATTTTGGGAATCAATATTCCAATTGTATTTGTTGATTTTGCAATAAAAGAGAGCATGAAATAGCAAGATTATAAAATTTAGTGCTATTAAATTATGTATGTGCATAAATCTTTTTGCTTAAATGTAAAGTGACTTTGAAAATCGAATGAATTCTCATTGGCTACCTTAATTTTGAAGGTCAAACCAAAATTTTTTACATTATCATGAAAAAAGAAACATCTAACCATTTTCATTTGGTTAGGTTGGTTTGAATATTCCCAAATCCCAATAGTTCAAGTAATACGCACCATGCATGCATCGTCCACCGCTTCACCAAAACGTTGGTTTCAAATTTGTTTGAATTTGTAAAGTCAAAAGCCTTTACCATTAAAAGAGTATTGGATATTAAGGTTGATAAAATCAAACTTTTCATAATATTGTTGATTTTAAGAGTTAATGACAATCTTGTCTCTAAATTAAAAAAGAAAAGAAAAGAAAATATGTTATTTTTCTTTTTTACCTTCAAATCTCACATTAAATGACTGTAGGATTTCTTACCAAACTTTTCTAGAAATGCAGGTTTCTTCTTTTATTCCCTCTTTAATCAGACCTTAATGGTTGAATATAAGCGTATGTAGAAAAGTTTAACTCCTTTTTAATCCCCTAGAGAATTTTATTAAAGACATCCTCATCAAAATTTATGAATATTCCTGGGGATGCCATTGAAGATAAATCCAAAATTTTTAAGTAAAAAACCCATGATGTTCACTAGATATTAAATTTTTATTTTGCAATGAAAGGCCAAAATGGTGTCAATATTCTTATGAAATTGCTCAATGAATAAAGAGCATTAAACACCAACTAGAGAATGCATATGGCCAGATTTGGGTTCTTCATAATTACTATTCTTCACTATGCGTTTAACTTTAATTTATTGGCGACCCTTATTCATTCCTCATCTAAATCAAAGAAATTGATTAATTTCATTAATTTCATAGAAGACTAGACAAAAGACAACAAGCACGTTTGATATAACATTGCTTCTGTATCTTTTCTCAAAATGACAACAAGGGCATTTTAGCATTTTTTTAGCCAGAATTATGTCGATAGGATCTTAATTAAACCCTTTTTTTGTTCGGTTACAGTCCTCAAAATTCTTAATGAATTGGTGTTCATTTTTTTAGATGCTGAAAACAATTCCTCTGTCTTCAATAAAATTTGAATTGTATAATGCTAATAATTTTACCACTTGGCACAGGCAGATGTGGAGTCTATATATCTACGAAGCCATATCAGCAACCATTACAATCATGGAAGTCATAGAAGCGACATTGGAGGAACTGAATAATGGTATCACGTTGGGTCCTCCATTAGTGCTGAGCTAAACTAGACTCTATGGACCAATTTGATAGTAAGAAATTGGACTACATGGATGTTTTTTCTAGTCTAATGTTAAGAAAAGAAATTAAAGCCCAATTTCAGATTTCAGGCTTGCTTAATGTTTACATTCAAAATGGGCCTACGGACATTTGCAAACTTTCCCAATCTGGTGTCTGAGCATAGTCTACGTGAAATCTCGTCCAAGCAAAACTTATTAAGCACCTATCTTATAATTAATCTGTTGTAAATATTTAATTTAAAATTAATTGATTGTAAGTAGATATGTTCAAGTTAAATATAAGATTAACAAATCTTTATTATGTATAAGAAAAAATTAAAGAAATTTTTTACGTAATAAATTTAACAGAGTAAAAAAATTTTTAAGTATGATATCATATTAAATATTTAATTTAAAATTAATTATCAATAAATAAAAAAATTTAATCTGAATATAAAATTATAAAAAATTAATATTTATTAGATATAAAAAAATGCAACACTAACAAAAATGACAAGTTTTAGTAGAAGAAAATCGAGAAGCAAAGACATATAGAGGCATAGTTGTTTCAAAATGCAGCGCAGGACATTTGCTGTTTTCCAATCTTAGCTAATATCTACGAAACTTAAGCATGTGGGACATGAAGAGATTTTCCCCTCCTTTTTCTGCATGACGGGTTATTTAGATTCTAAAATTTTGATTTCGATTGTTAAGTGTAGCCAAATTTGATTGGAATTTGGAACTATATCCAAGTTTTTGAAATGCAAGCAACCTTCTATTACGGGCCTTGACATAGGAAGCCCGCGCCACAAAACATGGTCTTTCATTCTTTCTCAAAAGGAAAAGTTCAAAGCCGATGCAATTTGTTTGGTACCATGGAAAACAACAAATAATCATAAAAATTTATGTTTTTTCTGTTATGTTAGCAATGGGATGAACAGGAGACATCAACCTTGCTTTATCAATTTTACCTTGGTTTTTTCACTTCAGGTGATGTCATTTCACATTCTGGTCCAAAAACTTATCTTTTGAATCCATTTTATGGGTCCTTTGGTTTGTGGTAAACATCATTAAACTCTTCAAATACAAGTTGCAATATCAATGTGATAATAATTCAAATGTAACATCAGAGAAATTAGAGCAAGAACACTTGATAATTCCATTGAAAGAAAAAAAGGAAAATCACTTCTCCTATACCAATCCCCCCACAATTTAAAAAATAACAAAAGAAAATAAAAAGAAACCCTTAAAATTAGTCATATATTAACATTCCACTGTAGCCTTTTGTGCTATGGCATTGTCAGTACCATCACCACCGACACGAACGACGTTGCCACCATTAACTGCACTCTCCGGTAGTTTCCTCTTGGGCTTGGCTTCTTGCAGCATCAGCACAACATCCCTCATCGACGGCCGATCCGCCGGGTTGCGGCTGGTGCATAACAATGCAATTCTAAGCATTTGCATCATTTCTTCCCTCACTGATGCACATGATGCCCCGGCATTTTTATCCAAAATGTCAACAATTCCGTATTTACTCTTAATTTTAGACCTTACCCAATCCACAATGCTGTTCCCATCACCAAATTCCGAATCTACTGATCTTTTTCCGCTTAAAATCTCCATTAAGACCACCCCAAAGCTATAGATATCACTCTTTTCATCAACTTGTAAAGTATAAGCATATTCTGCAAAAACCAAACATACAGCGTTAATGATTGCTTACTGCTAAGCCAGAAAAATCCAAACCAACTGTAAAGTCAAACATGTAATGCCATGGATCAAAGACTCTGACAAAGTTCTCTCTGGGACCTATTATTACATTATATATCTTACAAGGATTTAAAGGCAGAGAAAAACGGTTTGAAAAAAAAAGGAAAAAGGGAAACTGAAGAAAAAGCAAAGAGTATTCACGCGCAATAGTGCGGCATCAGCCATGCAACAGTTACAAAAACCGCGCGGTGCCAAAAGATGCAAAACCGGAAAAAACTTTGGTTTGGGTTGGTTGCGGTGCGGATAGAAATGTCCATTAATTTAAGCATGTCTTAAATTGAAAACAAGCAATCATTGTCGTTTCCTGGACAAGTCTAAAGCTTTTTTTTTTTTTTTTGCTCTTGAATTGCAGAAGGAAGCGGTCTCAAGTGTTACATGATAAAGAAAGCAAATCAGAGGGGATATACACTGAAGATATCAGAGATAGAAAAGTGAGATTAATACTACACTTTTGGACGGAAAAAATAATAGTAGTACCAAGTACTAAGCCACCATCCAATATGACAAGTGTGTCAATGTCAACTTTAATTCTAGTCTTATAACTAATGAAATCACTAAACAATAAGTTGTCAAATCATCAAGAGGTCAATGATAAAATCATAATCTTTTACACTCTTTTTTGATTAATTTTTTAAATAATAATAATAATACAAATTATTTTGTAATTCAATCATTATATTAAAATATTTATTATCAAACAAATTAAACATATTTGATTTTAATTATCTATCCTCAAAATATTAAATTTTGATTATAAGATTGATGATCAAAATAATACATGACTGTTTAAATTAAATTAA